GGCGGTAATGGCGAATGATACTTTCCGCTGACCATCGATATTTGTGTTCATAACACGAAGAATGTGCTGAAACTTTTCTGGAATCATTAAGGTGGCCTGTGAAAATCATTATTCAGACGTGAAAACAACAACCCACCATCCTGCCCGCACGCTAGTTTGAAAGTAGGCCCGTGGAAAATTGCAGGATTTTAAACAAAAAGTAGCATCATTATTTACTTGGAAAGTGTACTATTCCGTTTATTTTGGTAGTGAGCAATATCCGGCGCTTTTTCTAGGGAATTTTCTTCTCATCTACAATTTAAAACAGCTGTCATAAGGCTTCTCTGTTGAAACTTCAGATGCTCACATTTGTAAATGCACCGAAGTGCCGATCAGCAATCCGAAAACACCTGAGATACTATGCACTAGGCGGTAATTTAAATACCATCAGTACGAACTATGGCGGCTTCTGCGCTTAATTAAATTATAGTTAAGAACAGATGGAGCAGCATACAATATGCCACACCTTAAGCAAAAACTCACATCCAGTCGCACATACAAGCAATATAAGATAAAAACTGAATTATGAGCAAAAGCTCCTGTTATTATTGGATAAATGCTCATCGAGCGGTTGTGAGACGCAATCGTGCTATTGTGTTTTTTGTATTTAGTTGAGGGGCGTGAGCAACGGCACAGCGTCTCCTCTGGCCCATAACAGCCAATAAGACAGAAATGACAATTCCACTCTCCCTTATCTCCCTTCATATCTGGCTCCTCAAAGCTAGGTTCCGCCTATCGGCAATACCACGGTAGACGCCTCGGCTAGCGGGCTGGACTAGGTGGGCCCTTCCGGTGCTATGTGTTCACATTCCGCATCCCTAAATCATCCGCTTTCCCTCTACCTTTTCCCCACATTTCCTTTCCTTCACTTCCTTCTCTCCGGCCGTTTCCCCAGCCCCTGCTGCCTTTCTCTTTCCCTATTCTCTTCATCCTCCTCAAAGTTGACTTTTCATTCACTGTCGAAACGTCCTATGGCGGGAACGACATGCAATCACGTAGGCGATCAAGGCCAATGTGGTCGTTCTAACACTTAACCCCGTGACCCATAATAGAATCCGACAGTCATCTGGGACGACTCAGTAGTTTCATTAAGGAAAAGCATTACTTACCACCTCATGGTGCAAGGGGCTGAGAAAGGGATCCTTAACAGAAATTCGCTTCATGACGCCCGCCAGCAGACCACGACTCATAGTCTGCGATACACACGACCGGAAAATGGAAAGAAAC